ACCTTTAAGTGAATATTATATATTCACACAATCATATATGTACATATAATTGCATGTAATGTATATAGTTGCAATTACGAGGTAAAAGGTAGATATTATTCCTGTATTGGACATTTTGCAGGTTTGGCTTTTAACACCTTACATTTATTGATATACGGAGCAGCAAATGCATCTGAAATCTTACAATAAAAACATAAGACACATTGGCTGGCTCGCTCCCGAGATGTTTGAAGGTCAGTTGACCTGGTGACGATTTGCAGTGCTGAAGGACAGAATTTCTAACCAGCATGCATTGCGTCAAGTCAACGCTGCACAGCAGCACATCAAGTCAAACGCACCTCAGTTTGAATCTTCTGAAAAATCATCTTATTATCTTATTATCTTACTCTTTTAGAGTGATAACCAATCGATCTTGCAATCTCCTCGCCAATGACATCTGAGCTAGCAGCTCGAAGGCATCCAGACTGGGTCACTGCCCTGTGTGTGAATGAAGCTGGTAAACACCTTTTTGTGAAAGATAATGTTGGCTGTGAAGAGCAGCTGTTGGTCCTTTCAGCCTGAGGGTTTCTGTGACGTGTTTTTCTTTGAGCACCATGCTTGAGTGCAGGGGAGTACTGCATTAATGAACATTTCTGCATTGATCCTCTGCTGATGTGTTGTAGGCTACCACTTAGCTGAGTTTTTTTTTTCTTTCCACAGCCTGTAAAATGTGTATTTCTCCAACATCTAATGCACAGTTTGTCCATAATATCTGCACCATCTGTAAGGCTTAAGATAGCATAGGTACCTCTAATGAATTCAACCGCTCCACATCCTTCTTTCCTGCTTCTCCCAGCAGGAGGATCAAGCCAAGTGACCAAGGCTAAAGAGGATGTATCTGTCAGGGATGATGGGTGTGATGAAGTCAGTGATGTTAGGTGTGTTGAGCTTTGAGACACCTCAGAATGTCCTTCTGTTTCTCCGCATGCTGCTCTTCTGCTGCAGTCATTGATGGCAGCAGTGAAGAGACGAGAGCAGCCATTGTCTTATTTCCAATACATTTTCATATAAGGCCAAATAAAATGTAATATTAACTCTGGTGACTCCTTCCTGTCTGACTAATTTCTAGTTTCGCAATCTAATAAGCCTCTACAGCAAATAGATTTTCAAGGAGTGCTGTATTTGTCTAAAAATATCCAGTCCAACACTGAGTTGTGCTGCACAACTGGAAATTGATTGTATGACTCCTGCTGCTCACACCGCTACCAGATTATTTGTTTTAAGCCTTACGAGGCTGCACTGAATAGAAAGTGTATTATATTCTACATCTTAACTGTGTATGCCTGGATGTTATTCTATATTCAGTAAAACATGCAGAGCAAATTGTGTAGCAGCATTTTGTATGCACACAATGGATATCTACCACCGGGCATCAATATGTATTGCTGCAGAGCACCTACAGCCCTAACACCCATGGCTCAGTGGAGATGTTATTTCACTTAAGCAGCCCTTCGATTATGCAAATTCCTGAGGATTGTACAATGAGGAGAAAAAAACCTTATGCAGTTTTTAATTCATGTAAAGCTATTGTTAAAACCCTTAGTCATGCTCACAGTAATATTAACTTTGATTTACTAAGTGTCTTCGTGAACGTTCAATTTTTCTAAAAGAGTCCAGAGATGTTTGTGTGTGGATCTCTGCTGGGGGAGAGCTGCAGAGGGTGGGGAGGGCCACCCAATTAATACTAGTGGTGTGGCTCAATGGGTGACAGTGTTTGTAGGTAGGTCAGGTCCACCACTCCCACTAAAATATCTCAGCTATGATATTCATGGTCAACAGAGGATGATCCCTAATGAATGTTGCGATCCCCTGCGATTTAAAAAAAGTTATCTCTTTTAAAGTGAAGTATATTTAAAACTAGCCTCCGACCATGTTGGTGGTCTTTAATACAGATGTTATACCTTCATTCTGTGTCAACAGTTCTAAACGTCACCCCTGAGAGGCTGTCAGCAACACAACATCAGTTTCTTGTGTCTTTGTTGGCAGATTCCAGCCCAGTCCTTCCAAAATCACCTTGCAACAGAGCTGCAGATGAGAAAGTTCTTCAGTTAATTAAAAACACTGATGGGATGTTGTTTTTTTCCCATTAGCTGTTCAGTTGTTTACTTGATTACGACACCAAGTTTGAAAAAAATCTTGATTCGTGGTGATCTTCGGCCTCCTGCTTGGGTGACTTGATGTTACAGCAGAGCAAAAAACCTGACATGGGGTCTTAACCCACTAAACTGATTGTGACCTTCAACCTCTGCACCAGCAGGCATGGCATTTCCTGCTTCATCATGAATAATGATGGTTTGTAAGAAAATCACTTCATATGGAGAAGTTCCACATCACTGACCCTGCCACCCCGAGCATCAGGAAGCAGCACTGGGGTTTCAGGCTTTCAATTGGCCATGACTGTGTGCCATTTGTAATTTCATCAGGTTTGTGCTTGAGCCTTGAAGTTCCCTGCCGCTTCACTGTCCGTATCAAAACAGTGTGTCGAATAATGAATAATGTTTCTTAGAATGTTGAAAGGATATGTCTGAAGATCTCTCAAGAGATACAGACATCCATTCATTCATCCATCCATCTTCTCAACTGCTTATAATTGAAGGGTCTTAAAAAGACAATTACCTCCTTACCTTCAGAGGCAGAGATTGTCTTTCTGTTCTTTTTACCCCAAGTATGTCAAGTTTAACGTCACAAAGAAAAAGACAGCTGAGGCTATCTCTCACCTCGTGATCAAGTCTTTAGCCTTAGAGACTTATGTTGCTGAAGCAGAGATAATAGCCAGAAGTTAGAGAAGCGAGTCACAGAAAAGTCGTCTTTCAGCAGTTGTCAGTGGAGATTATGTGTTTTGTCAACTGATGGGAGGGGGTAGGATGTATCAGACTTCATATTGTAGCCTGCTCTTATCAGCTTTTCCAGGCTTTCCAACTCTTGCTTTCTTGACTATCATGTAGAGAGAGACAGATGTGATTGTCTTGCTGTTGATCCACAAAGCCAAATAATGAAATGTACCACTGAAGAGTTTCGCCCTGAAAACTGCCTTTGCAAAGGCTTTCACCTTCCTCTGCGGACACTTTGTATTTGGAAACCTTTTTATTTTGTTGCCTGATAGCATCAAGACAGGAAATACAAAGAAATGCGAGAAATTCAATGTGATAACTGTCTCTGTGCAATTAATTTTTTTCCTTATTCCTAAGAAAAATGCACACACACCTCATTTTCTATTGAGTTAAATTGACATTCTATAATATTTGCAAAGGGTTTGTGGTAAATTCTATTTTTTCGTTTAATCAAGATGGTTGGTTTTCCTAATTGTTAACTGAGAAATGCAGTGAATAATGCATTCATTGAAGTTGAAACTAACTTTCTGAATTGTCAAGCACCAATAGAGGTACCAGGGTGTAAGTCAGCTTTAGCATTTGTCAGCTGGGCTGTTAATGTTATTTTCTAGGCTTCGAAAAGCACCTCAGGTGGTTCATTGACTATGTCTTTAGACCAACACTTCATCTCGTCTCTTTGACATAAACTAAGTCATGGTGTAGAGTGTTCTTTGTTCATTGTTCACTGCTGAAATGGAAAAGTAATGTGATTACAATGACGCATTCCACTCTAACGCTGCAACATTCAAGTCTGTAATTTGTGGAATAGCAACGTTTCTCAGTTGCACGAGCACCGTCATCAACAATGAAGCAAAGTTTTACATCTCTGTATTTTTTTCTTTTTGCTGACGAACAAACATAACAGCAGTTACACCAGAGTTTCTCCTCCTTGGTGTCGAGAACCTAGAGGGTGCTGTTTGACACATGGGCACTGTGTGGGATTTCTAAGACAAACAAACAATATGTAGGATGTATTTTTTAATTTCAACAAGGGTTAAGTTATCGAGTCATTGCAGTGCTTCTTCTGCCTTTTTGATATACAGTACAAGAGAGAAGGCAATTCTCCTGACAACAATCACAACAACACAATTGAAAACTGGGTCACAGGCCAGACTAGGTTAAGAAAGCCTGAATTTGACATTGTGTAATGAAGATATTTTGTATTTAAGTAAATAACCCTTTCAAAATATAACTATACCATCATATTTAAATACAAATATATTATATAACTTCAAAATGGACAGAACATCAAGCTCCCACAATTCTCATGCATGAATGATATGTGTTTTGTAGGTTCTTTTTTTGTGATTTCACATTCAAACCTTGTTGTTAATCACAACTCACATGTCCCTCAACCTGTGGCTGAGCTTCACTCCAAATTTCACCAAACACTGTTTACAGGTCCTGCATGAGGAGCTGACACCAATGTTTGTGCGAACAGCAATTATTTTAAAACATTGAATTCACTTCACATGGTCACATAGCTATTACTATTACTGTAGTTTCTATTTTAAAACATTTTGACCCTGTTTTATTAAAAGACAGGATCACTGCTTTTTGTGGAAAAAAAACAAACAAACTCTTTGATATTAAAGCCATACCCTAAATGTGCAGAATTGACACAAGGCCAATTAAAGTCAAAGGAAAGATGTGAATGAATGTAAATAGAGGTGGATTCGCTGTGCGTGGTTTGAAATGAGGTAATGGCCACACATAATATCTCCCCTCTGACATAGATATGCGCTTCTCGGAGCTCCATAAACCAGCTTAATGAATGCACAGAGACCAGGGCAGACAGTCGGAGTATATGCAGTAACATATGGAGTTCATAGAGACCAGTGCATGCTGTTATGCGTAAAGATACACAGCTGCAATGTCACCTGTGACTGAAACACCCTCGGCTCTCAGAAGCTGCCCAGCCTCCTTCAGCTTGAACTCGCTGGGTGGTATTGTTAACAAATGTCTATATGTGTCAATATGAAAAGTGGAAGATAGCAGGGTTGTTAAAATGTTCAACTGGATAAACTGAAAGAAGAGAACTGTACATGCAAACTCAAGTCAGTTAAAAGGGATGGTTTTAGAGATTTGAAATTATGGAGTATGAGCTCCCTGTTATTAAGAATGTTATGATTTCGCAGGTTTCAATCACTAAAATAAAAATGTGTCCAAGCCCATTCAGGAGCTCTAACTGTTTAAATTTATGAAGAATGGGAAAAAGAAAATTGTATCTGGTTTGGGCAGAAAAATATCAGACATGCTGTTTAAACAAGATGCTTGATTGAAGTGGATGTGCAGACATTATTGTTTGTGTCTGGTGTCCAAACTTGGTGCAGATAAGATGGTGATGAAGTAATTATTTGATTCTTTGCCTCTGATTCATTGTGGCGCCACATTGGATGGTATCATCTCCCGAGGGGCCGGCTCCTGCCGAGCCCCCTCAGGTACCATTCGCATGCTCACGCTGCCACCATCCGTGGTGCTCGGGTTCACGCGGAACTTTCTGTTGACCGGACGTACGGCTCTGAGAAACTGCCTCTTGAAAGTCTCACTGAGGATGATGTAGAGAAATGGGTTGATGCAACTGTTAGCGTAGCCCATGCTAATGGCTATGTTGTACGCATAGGAGAACGCAAGGGTTGGCTTCTGCACCCCAAGGTGGATCAGCTGGAGGATGTAGTAAGGAGCCCAGCAGATGAAGAACGCAAGGCAGATGGCCACCGCCATCCGGGTCACCTTCCTGGTTCGCACCCTCAGACTCCGTGGAGGCAGCGGTGCCACACTGCTGGACATGTGTTGGAGCATCTTGAAGAACACCAGGCAGATTATAACCAAGGGCATGGCAAAGGCCAAAAAGAACTGGTAAAGTGTAAACCAGTATGTGTCGGTAATTGGGTCAGGCAGGAGGAGCGCACAAGCAACCAGTCCATCTGGAAGAGGCATCAGGCCCGCATACATCCACACAGGGATAATGGTGAGGAAAGACAGACCCCACACAATGACGATGACCAGCGCTGCTACACAGGGTGTGCGGACATAGTTAAAGCGGATGGGATGGACCGTAGCCAAGTAACGGTCAAGGGTCATAGCAGTGAGGATGTAAGTACTGACTATCTGGCTGTTGGAGTCGAGCGCAGTGATGACTGTACACATTGTGGCTCCAAAGTGCCAACTGCCATTGCCCAGCAACTGGTGGATGAGGAACGGCATCCCAAGGAGAAAGAGGAGGTCAACAATCGACACGTTTAAGATAAAGATGTCCGGAACAGTCTGCTTGGCGCGGCACTTGGTCTTCTTTATGATGGTGTACATAACGATGCAGTTCCCCAAGATACCAAGAAAACAGATGATGCCGAAGATGACAGGGAGGATGGCACTGGAATGAAGGGCCCCATATACAGCTGGAGATGAGACGAGAAGAAGAGAGTAGTTGAAAACAATGATGCAGAATCACACATTGCATTGATATATTGCTATATACAGTCATCACATTTTAATTTATGAACAAGGGCAGCAGACAAATAACAATATACTGGTCAGTCATTTAAAGGCAGGTCTGTTGTCACTGAAATAGTCACTTGTCAGCAATCAGAATCAGAATCAGAATCAGAATTCTTTTATTTGCCAGGTATGTTTGCACATACAGGAAATTGCCTTGGTGTCATTGGTGCACTACTTATGTACATAAAACAACAATATAAAAAACAACAATATATAAGAAATTGAATAAAATAAAATAGAATAAAATAAAATANAAAACAACAATATAAAAAACAACAATATATAAGAAATTGAATTAAATAAAATAGAATAAAATAAAATAAAATGAAATAAAATAAAATAAAGTATATACAGTAACAGAGTAACAGGGTTATGGGCACGTGCTGTGCGAAGGTGCAGACACACTTGAAGCAATTCACTGTAATGACAGATGATTTTGAGGGAAAATACAATCATCCATAAGAACAGGCCTTAAATAGCTCTGATATAATGTGGAATTTCATACCCAGAAGTCAATTTCTAAATACTATCACTAAACCCACTCAGTGACTTTGTCATTTTCTAAGACTTAGATATGTGTCTTTATCACCAAGCAGAAACAATCGTATAGCTTTTTCTGCAGTGGCATAGGTCAAATTGATGTGATGAGGGCAACTCATCAAACCTGTCAGGTTTTTATGGTCATTTACTGCAGCCTGAAATTGTGCAGCTATAATAGCTTGCATGATTACCAATAACACATTGTACACTGATTTTAGGTCATGGAAGAAAAGAGAAAAGTGCATCCACTTGATTCATTTGATGTTTAACATGATGAATGCAGTTATGATGCTCATAGACAAGAAGTAAATAACTGGTGGCTCAACTTACCTGTTGTTGTTGAATTAGTGTGTGAGACAGAAAAATTTGAATCGTTATGGAAATCCATGTGTAAAAATAAAAATCAGGTGTATCCAAGTTAAGAAGTGCCTGTTTTTCAAGTGAAAAACATCTGGAGCTGCAGTCAACAAAGGAATCCACCTATTACTCTTTAATTCCAGATGTTTTTGTTTTTGAGTCAGTTAGAAATAATCATGGTGAGCAGATGAGTGTGTCTCCCTCGGTGATGATGAAGCTGCCCCTGTAGTGAAGGGGCTGAGGAGCCTGTGAGAGCATCTTTTTCAGAGTCTGTGCATGACTCGCTCTCTCTCTCTCTCTCTCTCTCTCTCTCTCTCTCTCTCTCACTATCTCTCTCTCTGCGGAGCTGCGACTGCGCTGCAGCCTTCACTCAAGCTTCTTTGGAACAAAACATTCATTAATTTCATCCAGGAGCTGATTTTCATTCAAAATCTGTCTCGGAGAAGTTTGATCCAGATCCTATTTTAATGCATTACAGACTGTCTCTGGGAAAATTAAGGTGTATTCGTTTCCAATCTTCGTCTTTATGAATGATGTTTTTACGCCCTACAGAAGCCATATAGCCATATAAGCTTAACTTTAGTTTGCATGTGTGATGGAGTAACAGGTTTTTACCACTTGGCTACAAACGAATCCATCCACATCTGTGCAGTTTACGTGTAGGCTGGAACCTTTTATTTACAGACCCCACAACCTCGTTTCCAGCAACAAACCACTAGATGGTCTTGCTGCCGCTCATTTGAAGTCCCTACACATCTGTATCGCTAAATCTGGAGTTGATCATGGCCACGTTCTCCTGACAAATAATGAATAATCGGTATGATAATTAATTTCACTGACACATATTTATGAGGAAATGAAGATAAAGGAGGAAATCATGTTTAAAGTCTGTGTGTGTGTGTGTGTGTGTGTGTCTAAAGATATCTTTGTGAAATATATCTCTTACTGCGGGAGAGCCACCGCCTCTCTCCCACAGGACACCCAGATTCAAGTTCCCGGCCTCCCTCTATTTAGCCTCCCCACAGACTGCAGGACTCTGACCCTGACAGACTGGATGGTTCAGAGCCATGGGGTCAGAGCAAAACAGCAGAGAAGCAACCTCTCCCTCTCCAGTTGTTTGTTAATCATTTCTTTTGTATAATTAATAACATTTACTTATTATAAATATTCATCAAAAGATCAACCCCTACCTCCAAAATTATGCTAAGGGAACGGCTTATGTTGGGAAAGAGGAAAAAGACAAGACAAGCAAGACCTATCTGCTGCCTGGGGCTGTTGGGTCCCCAGGGTGGGAGCTGTCCCTGAAATCTGAGGTATCACTCAGAGTATCCGACGAGCACACATAAAAAGCTAAGTCTTGTGCATGTTGAGGATGGTGCAGTAATCCCCACCAAAATATAAATCAGGGAGGCTCCGCTGGAAGTGGAAAGATGCTTTTGAAATCCCATAAAAAACATAGTCGGGGATATCTGCAGTCCAATGGCATTCAAAAGCTCAATAAATAAGTAAGATTCAACAGGTTAAAAGCTCAATGTATAAATATCTGAATAAATAGGTAAATAATAAATAAAATTCAAGCAAGCCATATACTACAGCAAACCAACGCCTGAGATTTACTTCAGAGTGGGAGCTGTTTGAAAGACTTTCTGTTGTATAGACTTTTTACGTTATGGACTTTTACTATTTTCCTTGTGTTTGGATTTTTGGATTTGTCTTTGCACTTCTAGTTCCTGTGTCTCTCTGCTCAAGGTCCTGTCTCTATCCTGTTTCTTGTGATCGTCTGCACCTCTTGTGTTCCGCCTGTGTTCAATGAGCCCTGCCTCAGTCAGTCCTGTTAGTTTCAGGCTATGTTTCTGTCTTTCTTGTTTTACTGCCTGAGAGTTTTTAGTTTGCTGTGCCAGTTAATCATCTACAAAGTCTGTAAGTCTCTTAGATTAAATCATCTTTTCTGTTTGACCAACATTGTCTTGCGCTTTGAAGTGTCTGCATATGGGTCCTTGACTGTTTCTACGTGTAAAAATGTCAAATGTATCAAACTAAAAAGTTCAAGTTTAATAATTTTTATCAACTGATGGTTTCTGTCATTTTAGGTAGTTCCTATCAGAAGTGCTCATTTTCTGTTTAGATATAGTTATTTGATCCTATGAAAATAGCTGAGACTGATTTGTGATTGGTTGAGAATGTGTATCGTGGGACCTCGCTAATATGGCTCCACCCTGGGCCCACTTAAATAACTTGAAAATTATTTCATAGTTAAACTTAAATGTAAACACTGAGCACACTTCATTTAATCAAATCACTCTGTAGTGATTTGATTTATTCACACCGACTCAATATGATAGAAAACACTTGATTAAATGTGACCCTGAATATGTGACAGAAATACGTAATGTCAAAAGTAATTTTTGGAGTTTAGACTCCAGTATTCTCAACCTTATTACAAGGCAAACATCTTGTTTCCAATGGAACATCTCTGACATCTTTATGTTGATCAAGTATTCCTCATGTTCTGGACTTTGTAGTGGTAAGACTTTTGTGTAATTTCATTTTGTAACTGGAGGATTTGAATTGGTGCAACAACACCATGCAGTAATTGTAATGCAGCAGAACAATGCAACATGAATCCATAATCAAACACCAGTCTTATTATGTATGTAATGCCATATCCACCGTATACTGTATTCTCATTATAGCTTAGTCACGAACAACCAAACTGTCATGACTTCATCATACAAAAATTCTAAACCTTAATTGTAATTTGGGAATATCATGTTTGTCTTTTGTATTTGTTGATATCTCACGCCTCCTTTAGGTCATTAAATCAGCTTGATTTACTCATTGGTGAAGCACATGGAAGAGTCCTGCTTTGTTTGTCATCAGCAAACAAACTGTCTCTCCACTTTACTGATCATGTCACTAACTGAAGCTTAAACACAGTTACCAGGCTACATCTCTGCAGTGCGTTCTTTTCTGCCATGGACCTATTGGACGTAGCTCAGCTTAATATTTAGCTCAAATGAAAAAGCTGACAAACAAAAGCAGATACAGGAAAACAGTGTCAGTAATGTAATGAAAATGTCCAAATGCAAAATTATTCATGAGATAATGTCAAATGCAGGAGAAGCTGTGAGACACATGTTGACCACGCACACAGGCACACACTCATGTCTCCATGACAACAGAGGACATTTCATTAACCATAGCTACTACTTGCCTAATACTAACCTTAACTTTAACCTAAACATGACTATAGTAAAAATAAAATAAAATATGTCTTCATCTTAAAATTCAAAGATTTAATGTGATGGGAACATGAGGAAGACAAGTCCCCATAATGGACCACACATAAGGCATTTTTATTTATTTTACTTTTAAGCCATTGGCCAAGTGTGATACATTTTTTCATCTGCAGGAGCCTGAGAGAGGGAGATTTAACTAACACCAGGGAGATTTAATAATATTGTTCAAACAGCTAATCTTAACGTCAAAATCAGCAGCCTTCCTCTGTTTTTTTCTAGATGTTTGCAGGCTTTTCTGCATTGAGGCCACAGCCAAAGTTTACTTTAATGGAACAGGAGAGGATGAACTGAGATTCAAACGTAGAGCAGGGATAAAGTTAAATCCTCTGCCGTGCTTAAGAAATGAAAAACAACTAAAAATGTACCTTCTCTCTCTGCAATATAATTATAAATATATATATATGCATATAAATTAATATCCCTATGTGCAATTGCCTTTTCTGCTTAACTTAATGGAGAGAAACATTTTCTGTTACAAAAAAGTTTTGACAACTGATTTACACGAGGTATAATGTTAGAATTTACACCAGGCAGAGTTTTAAAATAAAAATGTGAGTAGGCCTAGGAGTTCACTGCTGACTACAATTTGCAATGAGCTATCACTTGTCTGCAGAACTTTTTTATTGACATGATTGTGGGAGAGCAGGTCTCCAGCATCTGTCTCCTGCTGCTTAAATCTGATTCTATGGAGAAAAAAAATAGCAAACATAAATCTGAAAGTAATAACCCCCATGTCTAGGTGTCTGGAAGTGTGCAGTTCTGTAAAATGATGCAGTGAAATGCTCTTTTAACACACATCACTTATGACAGAAGGAATCTGTTTGTTCGAGTGCTTCATCAGGACCAATGCACAACAGGATTCACGTTAATTTGACTGAGCCTGTTTTTTAAAGCTCACAGTAAATAGCATCATATCATTTAAAGTCAGAGATCATCGTTTTTCATCTGGCTTGACACTTTACACTGATGGATGAGCAAAACAACTGGAGCAGGTGAAGAACGCAGTGATGAGGAAATGCATCACAAAAACAGAAATGTGTTGACAACCACAAGTCTCACAGTGGTGCGTTAGGAGGAAATCAATAAAATGCCAGTAAGGCATGCTGCAGTAAAAACCACCAGAGGCTTATGTTTGAGACGTATATTTATTTGATTATTGTACATCTTCTTTGGTTTGTAAATCAAGTAGCTGTTATTAGAGCTGTCTGCTTTAAACTGAATTGAACAAATGAAAACTAGTGATTGCCACTACACAAATACATACACAAACACAGCAGGGTCACCCACAGCAGGAAAACCAATATCAGTCTGTCTATTTGTCTTTAAATTATAGATGCTGCATTAATTTCAGCAGGCACAATTCTTCATGTCTACATTATTGAATCCTGTTTGAGAGAAGTGGTTCTATGTGAGTGTCGGCATTTTCACATCTATTAATCATTACAGTGTGTAAAGGTGTTAGAGAAGTAAGAGAAATCAGAGAAATCAAAGGTCCATTGCAGACATAATGTAAAATGTATGGTAACTAGCCAAGAACACCTCTGCTTGTGGCACTTAAGATAGATTTTCTTGTATTTTATTTGTTGTTGTCCCCCCACCGACACTCAGACCAGCTCATACACCTGAGCCCCCACACAGTGTCATATTACTCTGTCCTCAAAATGTTTTCATTTATTATACAACCTCTGATAACCATAAAATGTTAAAAAAAAAAAAAAAGACTACATATTACTAATTATTCCCTCAGCTGAGACTGTTGCTCCAGCACTGACTCAGACACCAGATCAGAAAATTAAAAGTTGGACCTGTTCTTCTCTTTAGAAAGTCTGGGTAAGGACAGAGCTTCAATCTCTGGGACTGTGGCCTGGGTTCCACCATAAACTGTAGCCAGGAAAAGGTTGAGAAGTTATCGACATACATGTCTCGTACAT